CATGAAGCCCTAGTTGGCTCCGTCAGGCGCCTCCTGTGGGGGCAGGCCTCCAAGCATTCTGGGGGGTGTTGCATAAAAGCCGAGGGGGGGCAATTTAACCATGCCTCGCAACAAATCTTGCCAGGGTGCTCAAGAAAGATATGCACCAGGAGGCTGGGGCCCTGGAAGGGGCTCGCCCGTGGATCGCTGTGGCATGGGGGTCGCCGGCGCCGTGCTGGATGCAGCGCGGACGGCCTGCGTGAAAAGTGTGATGTCCGATCTCGAGACGCAACCCGCCACCGTGTTTATGAGCGCCCCTGCGTTGCTCATCGCGAGCACCCCTGGATGCAGAGGACCAGCTATATGTGTCAGCGAGCTTTGGCAGACCTCGGCAGCGAGGTTAACGAATCTCCGTGGTTGAAGAGCCTTGCACCACGCGCGTGGAATCAGGTCCCCCCGCCGCCTGGGCGGGGAGATACAGGGGCGCGGCGATTTCGCGCCGTCGATGCCCCTGCCCCTGATTTGGACCCATCTGGAGAGATCCCCTAATCCTGGGCCCGACCCAGGGCTCGAAAAGCTTTTCTAGATGGCTCTGGTTCGAGTTCGGACCCCAGGTCGGTGCGTGGCGTGTCGGGCGGGGCGTGTACCTCCAGATGGGCCCCCTCCCCCTCGCTTGGCCGCATGGCCCCTCTGAACCTGGTATCGACGGCAGACAGAGTGCCCCTGCCGCCGAGCTGGCCGCATTATGGTGGTGCCTCTGACTCACGGAGGGTGAACTTGATGTTCACACTGATTTTCAATCCGTTTGTTTATGGTTTGTTCGGGGGTCTCGTGGAGCTGCCTTCGGGGGCCCAGAAGCTCTGGTGGGAGAGGATTCCCCAGGCTGCCCGTGCCCGTGCCGTCAACATCAGATTGCACAAGTGCTGCTCTCATCTCGACGCTGTGCCCCATGCGTGTCTCGGCCAAAGAGTTGAAATATCGCGGGGGAATGATATTGCAGATGCGTTTGCTCAGCGCGGGGCCCAGGAGGCCCACGCGTGGATCTCAAGTCAGGTCCGTCACTTGCATCAGGGAGATGCGACTGCGACGCTGGTGCACCAGCGGCTGGCCTCCGCCTGCGCGGAGCTGGCCGCCGAGGCGGCCGATCAAGGCCGCCCCCCGCGCGAGGCTTCAGATCGGGGAGGCGCGGCCACTCGTCGAGCTGTGGTCCTCGAGCAGAACTCGGGCCACACGGTGGAGCGTGTTGCCAGGAGGGGGTGGGTCTGTTCCGTGTGTCGTTCGGGCCTTGGAAGATCCTCGCTCGTCGACTGGCTCGAGAAATCCCGATGTCGTGGGGATCTCTCGCACCGCGCTCTAAGTGATGCTGGTAACCTCGTCCTCGTGCCACCCCGTGCCGTGTGCGAGATCAGGACCCCGCCCAGGAGTGCCCATCCCTCGCACACCGTGGCCATGAGACATGGCCTGGTCGGGCGTTGGAAGTGTGCGCACTACGGGAGTGTGGTTCGAGGGGGGGGGTTCTTTTTGCTAGCACAGGAATGCGATGGTAAGATCACTCCCCCGGGTGAACAACACCTGAGGAATCTCAGGAACGGCAAGCCTCCCAAACCAGGGAAGCCCTGGCCCATCCCCCCGCGTGCTGAGAACCAGGGGGTCCAGGGGGGCTTGTCCGTTCGTAACTCATGTCTGAAGAAGTCCCGTACGTAAGTTTATTGAAGGGCCATCCTCACTGGAGGATGCGATTGCCCAGCGATGCCTGTGGTGATGGTTTGGGGACTTGATGTAATCTCCCATGTAATATCCTCCCTCCTCCCTCCTCCCTCCCTCCCTCTTTCCCTCCCTCCTCCTCCTCCTCCTCCTCTTCCTCCTCCTCCTCCTCCTCCTCCTCCCCCTCGCCCGCGAAGTGGCGAGGAGGCCGATGCTGGCTCAGTCCGCTCGTTTGCGCGAGCTTGCGGCTCGGGGGGCCCTCACTCCTTCTCGTCCTCCTCCGAGTGCTGCTGCTGTCTCCACTTCCTCTTCGGGGGCCCCCCAGCCGTTCCGTTGTTCAGAAGATCAGGCCCTGGAAGGAGTCCCTGGGGGTTCCCGCAGGTTTATCGCGCAGGGACGGCAGGTGTCAAGACCCAAGCCTCGGGCGAAAGCCAAGTCCGAGTCCAGGTATTTTTTTGCAGTTTTGATTGGGCCCGAAGTTGGCCATTATTCTGTGAGTTTTAGTCGTGCCGCCGCCCCCCTCGAGCGCGTACGCCCGCGCCTAAGGGCGGGTAGCGGCCAGTGCACTCGGCCGTGCCCGAAGAGGTTGGATGCCGAGTGAAGTTGCCTGCGAGGGCCACTCAGGGGCCAACTTGTTGTTTGTTAGGTGTTGACTCACGGATCGGCCCCCTAGAGCTCGTTCGTTTTCCTCCTCCCCATCCTCCTCCTCCTCCTCCTCCTCCTCCTCCTCCTCCCCCTCCTCCTCCTCCTCCTCCCCCTCCTCCCCCTCCTCCTCCCTCCTCTCCTCCTCCTCCTCCCTCCTCCCTCCTCCTCCTCCCTCCTCCCTCATCCCTCATCCCTCATCCCTCATCCCCCTCTCCCTTCCCCTCATCCTTCATCCCCTCCCTCCTCCCTCCTCCCTCCTCCCCCTCATCCCTCCTCCCTCCTCCCTCTTCCTCCGTCATCCCTCCTCCCTCCTCCCTCTCCTCCTCCTCTGCCTCGTCGTCGTCGTCCTCCTCCTCCTCCTTTTCCTCCTCCTCCTCCTCCCTCCTCTCCTCCTCCTCCTCCTCCTCCTCCTCCTCCTCCTCCTTCTCCTCCTCCCCCTCCCCCTCCCCCTCCTCCTCCCGTGTTTCGCCCGCCTGCTTTTTCAGGCCCCCTTCTTCTAGTAGGGGATCGACGGCAGACTTGATGTACCCCAAATGGGATTTCTCAATCGAACCCACGCCTTTCGCATATCCACGAGCATTACATGGAAGCTGGAAAAAGTGATTTGGGCCAGCCCTTCCACTCTTTCCAGCCCTGGCCAGCTTCCGTTTTTTGTTCCAGCCCTGGCGACAGCATCCCTACTGTTTCGGGCTCGCCTCACCCACTGCCAGTTTTTCCAGCCCCAGCCACTTCCACTTTCACTGACGTTCCAACTTCCAGTTTTTCCAGCTTCCCTGTACACGTATGTGTTCGTAGATTCGACGCGCATTTGGGTTTTCGGGTGAATCAATTGTGTACTCGATCCCCTATTCGACTTTGGGGCGTCCGCGGGTCCTCCACGGGCGCGGGGGCCTCTGGCGCACCGGCGCCCCGGGGTCCCTGCATCCCTGCCCCGGCCGCGGGGGCCTCCGGCTTCTCACGCGCGCGGTGGGCGACGCCCTCTCCAAGGGACGGGAGGGGGGGCGAGAAGTGATTTCGGGAGGTCCTGGCAGGGTCGGGAGCGGCCCAAGCTGTGCATCTTCGTCGCTGGAAAGGAAACTGATGAGGCACCATGTGTTTTGGGTCTCCCGGGTGTCTGTTTCGGGCCCTGGGGCCACTAAGCGTTGATCCAGGGCGAAAACACAGTCCCGTGGATGGGGTGGGGAGCTCGGGGGCAACGATAGGGAGGGAGGGCATATGGGGGGAAGCATCGACCCCGAATCGCCCATTGATCGCCCATAGGGACCCGATAGCCCCAGCCAGCCCAGGAAGGTGCGGATTCACTATCGGGGGCCTATCGCCGATCCATCGACGATGTATGGCCGGCATGCCAGTCACCCCCGATCGCTGCCACTCAAATTTTCTGGGCCCCAGGTCACGGAAAGACCGGCCTGGGTATGTCGTGGGAGGAACAGCTTCGGCGGGGGTTGTTCAGACAGGGCTGCTCCAGGTCGTCTAGGGGCTGCCTGAGGGCTGCCCAGCATGTTCTGCGATGAGTCCTCAAGTTTTTCTGTACTCCACATCCTCGCCGCCCCAGTCAGATGCCACCGCCCCAATCAGAAGCACGCCCCAGGGAGTGAATTTTGTATACCAGACCCACGACCAGGACCCTCGCCCGCCCCCGGCGCTTTGGGGTCCAGTACACAAATCTTCCGGGCGGAATGAGTGCCTCCCCGTTGCGATGACACAGCAGCAAGGACATTGACTGCCTCTTTGCCTGCTGGTCGGTGTCTGATCGCTGTGTCTTCCCCCCGCGGCCCGTGAGGGGCACGACCGGCGGTTCGGTCGAGCCTCCTTCGGCTGCGGGTCCCCAGGGAACAGCTCGCACCCGACTCACCATTTCAGCTGTAATGGGCCGCGCGCAGAAAAGGGGTGGCGCGAGGGGCGGTCTTCTAAGAAGGCAGGGGGCACCTTCGAAAGTCTTTCTTCCAAGGAGACTTCTTAGAAGCCTCCGGTCCCTTCTTTGAAGCCCCCTGCCTTCTTGGATTACCGTCTCCTTGCCTGACCGAAGTGCTTTCTGTCGCTGCTGACGGCATCCGCAGTATTTTGTTGGGCCCGATGTGGCAGGTTCCAGTCCGAAAAGTCGGAAGACAACACATTGTATTTAGTACGGCTTGATGAAGGCCGTGGTTTTATCTGTTTCTTCACCTGTGTGTCAATCTGTCGATGCCTGGCACGGCATGGCACGACACGGCATGACCCGGTCGAATCGAGTCGGTCCGCAGGCGGCTGTCGGCAGAAATTATGAGTCCAGTTTGGGCGAGTCAAAATGGGGTGTGACGAAACATCGCCTTGCCATGATATCTTATGTTTCTCCGCTATCTGTCGATACTCCGAGCCTTCGGCTGGGTTCTGGGTCGCGCATGGTGCAAAGTCTGTAACACGATCCCGCGAGCGCCGCCTAGTCGTGGGCCCCGCTGAGGCAAGGGGCCTGTGTTTGGCTAGGCCAGGCTGAAGAGGGGCGAGGCTCCCGAAAAAGCAGCTCATTGCCGCTGATTCGCTGACCTCCCCGTTGCTGTCCCCGTTTGGTCCGCCCCGAGTGGGAGGAGGGAGGAGGATCCAATCGTTTTGGACGTGTTGTTGCTTGTTTTCGTTGGAGCCTCTGGAGGGAGGAGACTTCACCTTCTCCTCCTCCCCCTCCCGGCTCTGCTGAGGCGAGGGTCTGCATGTGGTCAGACCCGAGTGAAGATGCGCGGGTGCTGATTTTCCCCTGACCGAGAGCTTCATGTGACGGGCACCCCGAAGCGGGGACAGGGCAGGGTCTGGGTGCCAAGGGGCGGACAGAGCGGGGTGCAGGGACAACGGAGGGAGGATAAGAGGATTGGATATTGAGGAGGAGGAGGAAAAAGAGGAGGAGGAGGAGGAAGGGGAGGAGGAGGAGGAGGATAATGATGATAATGATGATGATGCTGATGATGATGCTGATGCTGATGCTGATGATGATGATGATGATGATGATGATGTTGATGATGATGATGATGATGATGTTGATACTGATACTGATGATGATGATGGTGGTGATGATGATGATGATGATGCTGATGATGATGATGGTGGTGATGATGATGATGACGGTGGTGGTGGTGAGATGATGATGATGATGATGATGAGGAGGAGGAGGAGGAGGAGGAGGAGGAGGAGGATCGGCCCACCGAGGGGGCGTGGTCGTGGCTCTGGACACGCCGCGGCCCTTGCGACCGAGCCCTGACGTGGCTTTAAACTTCTTGGCTCTGCAGGGTTCGAGGGGCCTCATGGGATCCCCAGAGGGCCAGAACTTGGCGTATGATGTTCCAACCTACTATAGCCTTAATCACCAGACATCATTTCGAGCACCCGAAAAAAACGAAACTCGAGGTTTTTCACGTGTCGGGCCCTGGGAGACACTCGTCCGACATTGTTTCGATATTGTTTCGGCACTCTTTCGACACTTTTCCGGGTGCTCGAAATCATTTCTGGGATATGGTCTTCAAGTGCGATGGGAGCAACATAACATTTGGCCAAAGAATTCGGGGGCTGGCGGTTCTGAATTTTACGCAAAGCCGCCCTACTGCTGTCGATGCCCAGGCCTTCTGGACAGAGGACGGGGAGCTGGTAGAGCTTGCCACCTCCTGTCGCAGCGCAGCTCCCCAATCGAACACACCTGGGACACCACAGCTGTCCATTCATCACATGCAGCGAACAAGACGTCTGCACCACCTGACCCCCGACCTTCAAAGAGAGATGGGCAGCAGGTGGTATGGGGAGGGGCATGTTATACTCAGAACACACACAAACTTCCACTACACGGATTGTCCTGCATCCAGTTTTCGACCGAATTTCGAGCGGGCTTTAGTTTACAATGAGAACAGGCAGCGCTTCTTGCCCCTCGGATGCTGCAACATGCAGTGGCCCGTCACACGCTCGAGCCCCCGCCGAAGCGTGGTTATCTTCGCTGGCCTCCTGGATGGGACAGGGCGCTGGGGCTTGACCCTGGGCACCGAGTTAATTCCAGTCGCTATAGCCGCTAGACGCTTATGGACCGGCTGTAGGAGGGCTGCATAAGCTAAAAGAGAGTCTAATCCTCGACATCCGCCGCCTTGTCGTCGCCGTCATCCTTCTCTTCTTGTCCCCCCCACGAGCCCACTGGACACAACCGGCGCTTCCCGTTCTTGTCCGAGCAGGTTCTCGTTGCGGAATGCCCCGTTGGAGGAGAAGCGCTTGAGAACCCTCAATCGTGCCACAACACCATTCCTGGGATTTCAGCGCCCCGAATCAGCGTCACCGTTGCCCCTGCGATCCTCAAGTCGTGCCAGAAGCCATTCCTGGCACTCTTACACAGCGAATCCACGTGACCGTTGCGCCCTGACAGTCCTAAATCGTGTCGGAGGACCATTCCTGCGACGTGAACTGTACGACTCCATGAACTTTCTGTACGCATAAAAATGTTCGAGGCGTTGTAGGCAAACAGCACACCTTGGAACAGCGAGTGTGCGCGACGCGAAGTCGAGAGCCACACTTTGAAAGAAGGACCCGCCCTCTATCAGTGAAGCTCACGCTTACAGCGAGTGTGCGCGGCGCTACAGGCGCGATCCACATGTTAAACACGGCCTGCCCTCCATCCGTGACGCTCCCGTTAGCTTTCGAAACGAGCGTGCGATGCGCGAAAGGCGAGAGCCACATGTTGAAAACGGCCCGCCCTCCATCCGTGACGCTCCTGTGAGTTTTCGAGACGAGTGTGCGTGGCGCTCAAGGGCGACAGCCAGAGGTTGTCAACGGTCCGCACCCCATCTGTGAAGCTCTTGCAAGTTTGAAGCTTCAGCATCATTAGGGGAGGAATTTTATGCTGAACCGCCCAGCCCGCCGTGACACGTCTTGGGGCGCGACAGGGAGGAGTTATTTATAGAATGGCCTTCGGCCTGATTGTGGGCCATTCGACCTCTTGGATGTTCATTGGGATGTCGTGTGGGGTCCCTTCGGGTGCCTCTGAGATGCAGTTTTTGCAGTCTCTTGGGGACCATTTTAGGGCCTTTTGGGGCGTTTGGGGGATCTCTTGGGGGCCCTCTTGCAAAACTTGGGGCCTATTGGGGGCCTCTTGGGGCAGAAAGCTTGACTTTGTTCGGGCTCCCCCTCCTGGGCCTCATTTGGGGTCGTCTTGGGGTTTTCTTAGGCCGTCTGGGGCGCATCTTGGGCCGTCTTGGGGCCCAGCGATCTTGACGGGCCTCTTAGGCCGTTTTGAACGCCGTGAGGCCGACAGATCGTATCTATTTGACATGTACGATGTTCTGCGGGAATCGGGCGACGCATGTTTGCCTCTCAGTGCCCTCTTGGGAATGTCTTGGCGAGAACGCAACGCAGATTTGTTCGGTGTCACAAAAACGCGGACCTGGGAACCATTTCCCCCAGCCGCCCCGCCGCTGGCGCCGCGGTTCGCCGCGTTGCCTGTGGTGGGGCGGGCTGGGTTCGGTTGGGGGGGTGCGTTTGGGTTGCCTCGCCTCAGGTCTTCATGGACTTCGTGCTCCTTGTCTTGTTCGTGTTGTCGTCAGCCGGCCCCATCGTTTGGCTCCTGGTCGGGGCGTCCTACTTGTCAGCGCGCGGTCCAAGCGCAGCCAGCGACGGGCGCTCATCCGGGCAATAAGCCATGACGTTGTTTCATGAGGTCCGCGGCGTCCTGCCAGAGCTTTCACCCATGGTTACCTTTGCGTTGATCGAGTTGCTGAGGCGCCAAGACATAACGCAGCTCAGAGATCTGCAGCTAGCGCGCGTCGATTGGTTCGAACCCGCGCCTGCCGCAGAAGGGGAACGAGGCGTCAGCCCTGACGCCCTGCGCGTAGCGCTGACAGCGTTAATTAACGAAGCCAAGAGGCCACCTGCCGTCGCGCGCGGCGTGAAGGTCGAACCTCCGCCTGCACCCGACGTGCATCAGCTCGCGCGCCGCAGCCGCCGTCGCCCTGCCAGGCGGCGCGCGGCCAAGTGCGATGATCTTACCGCGGTTTGCGGTGTTGTGCGGGACCTTGTGCCGGCCGTCAGCATAGCGCGCCAATGCGCTATCGAGCCGCGCGCGGGCCCCCGCCGTGAAGTCGAGGCCCTGCGGCAGGGGCTCGCCCAGCGCAGCTTCAGCGAATGGTCGAATTCGGCCCGAGTTGCCGCGATTCTGGGCAGCTGCCCGAAAACGTGGCCCAGCGTAGTCAGCGCCTTCCGCTGCTGGGCGACTTTCGCCATGACCGTGCTCGGCTGCGACGCGGGGGAAGTGATTCCGCCGTCGCCCGAGGGCCTTGCACTGTGGAGCACGTGCTTCCGCTGCAAAGGAACGCTCGACAGCTATATTTCGCACGCCAGATTAGTCTGCATCCTCTTGCGCGTCCCGCCGGGCGCGCTGAGCGACCCGGCAGTCGCGCGCGCCGCTCGCGCGGCGCAAGCGCGAAACACTTGACAGGCCAGGCCCAATATGTTTATTCGAGAGGTGCTCCTCACCAGATTACCGAGGCATCTCGAACGCCACCAGTCGGGGCGCGAGTTGCAGGTGCTTTTCTTGACGGCGCACATTTTCCTGTTGCGATTGCCGTCGGAAGCGCTGCCGATGTTCGTCGCTCGGGGCGGCGATCCGCCGCGGGCGGTCGAGCCGAAGAGCTGCCTCCGTCTGCGTGACGGCTCGATCTCGCTGATTTCGCTTTGGCGCAAGAATCGCGCCACGCCGCTCGCGATGACGCGAACGTGCTGGCGCGCGCGCTGTCCATCGACGTGCCCCGCGCACGCGCTGGGAAAATTCTGCGCCGAAAGCACGTCCCGGCAGCCTTTCGCGGGTTTCCGCCCGGACGCTGTCCTGTCGGCGTTGAGAGCGGCCCTGCAAGAGCTCGGGGCGCCGCGGCACGATGCCTATCGCACCCGCGATTTTCGTCGAGGCCACGCCCAGGACACGGCGGCGCGTGGCTCGCGGCTGGCCGACATCCTTCGCGCCGGAGATTGGCGGCCCGCCGCCTTCCTGACACATTTAGAAAGGGATGCGCTTGTGACGGCGCCGTCAGGGAAGCGCGCGGCTGCGCTTCGTCCAGCGACGAAGACGAGGACTGAGATGGCTGTGATCCTAAAAAGCACCTTCGGCGAGAACAGCGTTAGCGGTGAGCGACGAGTGCGTCGCTCGCCCCCCGCGCGGGCGCGCGCCTACCCAACGAGCAGCGCTCCCCGCGCTCCCCCCCCAACCCTCGGGTTTTCCAGGGTAGCGTCTTTTGTGGGCGAGAACGCAACGCAGTTTTGTTCGGTGTCACAAAAACGCGGACCTGGGAACCGTTTCCCCCAGCCGCCCCGCCGTTGGCGCCGCGGTTCGCCGCGTTGCCTGTGGTGGGGCGGGCTGGGTTCGGTTGGGGGGGTGCGTTTGGGTTGCCTCGCCTCAGGTCTTCATGGACTTCGTGTTCCTCGTCTTGCTCGTGCTCCTTACCCACGTCTCCCTGCGGTGGTGGGAGGGTAAATATACCCCCGCGTCGCACGCGCCGCCCCGTGGGCGCTTTTCGGCTGAGCGCGAGGCCGGCGCCCTCGGTGCGCGCGTGGTCGGGCCGCTGTAGCGGCTTTTGTTCCCCCTCACCCTTCGCCGCTCCTTTGGTTGGGGCGGGGCGCGGGGCGTCGCTGCACCCGCGCGCTCCCGCGGGGGGCGGCGAGCGACGAGTGCGTCGCGCGCCCCCCACGCGAGCGCGTGCCTACCCAACGAGCAGCGCT